TTGAGGTTGGGCAAGGCAACCCAGTAGGAGGAAAAGGGTCCCAAGAGTGGGCAAAAGAGTTAGAGATACTCCCACTCCCACAAAAACACAAACCAACAACCAAAACACACAGGCTCTGTGGTTGCTGCTTCAGTCTCTGGGAGGCCCTTTGAGCCCTGCTTAGTTGATTCTGTGTGCCATGTTCCCAGAAAATCTTTTAAAAACAGCTTCATGGATTGTTGTTGTTGTTGTTGTTTGTTTGTTTGTTTTTGGTGGTGGTTGTCACCATACAAATGAAGTTTGCATTCAACTTTGAGCAATGTAAAGAAATAGCAAATAGGAATCATATTACTCTTCCATCACTACTGAGAACTGATTGAAATAAAAACCACGGTTTTCTATACTATTGGAGCTAGAGGGTCTTAGAGATTCCCATTCCAAAGCTCCAACCGTAATTGCTGAACAGCACTGTGAATGGCACAGGTTGAGTGGAGAGAGGAGGAGCGGAGACACTGAGGTAACAGCTGCCTGCCTTGAGACTCCACCTACGCTTAGCACAGAACCTAAAGGTAGGTTTTCCATACTCTGTTACAGGATTGCCAGCTGCTTGGGTGAGTAAGGAAAAACATGAGTTTTTCATTGCTGGTGAGTACCTAACCACACACCTGGGCACAGGAGCACAGGAGCAAAGGTTCCCGCTTTGCCTACACAGGTGGCAGGCTAACACTAAAGGCCCCAAACACCTGTCACCGGAAATCACCTTAACAGTGGCATCAGGAAGGCTTGGCTCCACAGTGAGAAAAGATATGGGGAGCGGCCTGCAACAATGAAAATCTCCCATGTTTAGATACCTTTTGATCTGGCGGGGAAAGAAAAGTAAAAAGCAAACCATCAAAGGAGCCCAAACACTTCTAGACCAATAGATCATACCACCCTTTCATCTGCATAGTATAAATGAAGTTAAAATCCTATAACAGACCATAAGAGCCGTTCATAGTTGTAGTGACAAACAGCTCTCTTACAAAATGTTTAAAGTCTTTTATATTTAAAAACATTTTAAACTAGGGAAGAATATTTAAAGAAATATCCCCTATCCTTTTCCACATATTCCCAAGTCAAACCTAAACTCTCTGTGGTACCCAAAATCCCATTCTATGTTCTATTAGCCAACATAAAATTGCCCCAAGAACAACAGGCGTTCTCCTTCTATTGAATATCTTAGGCAGTATAAATTGATGTGCAGTTAACAAGAGCACACAAACAGGCAAATGTTACAGGTCCTCTGGCATCATTAACACAAAATAGCAATTCTGCTCTGTAAATGTTATCAATGGACTCTCACTGATCCAAGCACAGGGCCCAGAGAGATGGGCAATAAGGGCACTGGCCACTCTTCCAAAGGACCTGACTTGGGTTCCCAGGGCCCATGTCACATGGCTCATGACTGCCCATACCACCAGCTCCCTCTTCTGGTCTCTGCGGGCACATAAATACATACACATACACATAGAGACACAAATACACATAAGTAAAAACGTTAAAAATAATAAATCTTGAAAATAAGTGCCACATTTGGTCTATTACACACATACATGTATAAATACATATGGATGGAAAGAACAAATAAGTACTTAGCATTTTCAGGAATACATTTTAGATTATTCTGAGCCTTATATAAAATAAGCAAACTAACATGAATGTTATTAATCAACTTTAAAAGGTTTATAAAAATACAAAATGGCACTAACTAATATTGTGAACTATTAAAATTAATTTTTCTTTAAAATGCATTAAGCATTACATCTGGAAAAGCAAAACTGAGCTTAAGACGTAGCTGTCAGAGGCATTATCTGTGACTGATAATAATCACTCTGGAATGGTTCCACATGTCCTGAGAGCACCAAGACCCGTTGAATTGCTCCCAGACAATAAGCTCTCTAAATAGCAGCCACATTTCCAGGACTTGCTCTCACACTTACGCCAGAGAAGCTGATTACAGAGCAAAATACACTGAATAAGCGCAAAACTTGCCTGAGATTTCTGACCAAAGCCACGTTTTATGATTTTTTGCATTTAGGCATGTTTTATTCTTAGCAGCTGAATAATATCCAAGAAGGCTTCAATGCAATTTTCACATTTTAATTGGGCTTTATTCATGGTAAAAACCTAGATTAGGAATCTCCTATGAATGCCCAGTGGAAGAGAGTGAATCTAGTTCACATTCCAAACAAAACAGTGCAAAGACATTCATTAAAAGTTGAGGGAGGGGTAGATAACACAATTCACACTTAAAATATTGACCATCACAATGGAGCTTAGAAAAACAAGTGGCTAAGGCATGCTTCCGAGGTGCTTCTTCTCAAGGCTGGCCCGGGCGGTCATCACAAAGATCTCCAAGTCTTCCTCCTAAGCTGGTTTCTATAGGAACTTCACAATGCCTGTCTTCTCTGACAGGGATGCACAGAAAATGACGGGAGGAGTTGAAAGACACCCATCTTCGTTAACTCGAGGGGAGTAAGTTACAACACTTTAAAACAACAACTTACTTACAAAACATGTGAAATGTCAGGGAGACTGATCATAGCCCACACTTGAAGGGAACTTGAAAAACCAGGCATGCTCGCCTGAGGCTGTGTCCTCGATGCTGCGTGCTCACTGTCATCTTGGTCAAACTTGCTGATGGTGTTTCTCTTTAGGCTCAGTCAGAACGGTGGCCAGTATTATCATATTCCTTCTCAGACTGCAAACTGGAGAAGTTAAGTGGCGCTAATCTCAGGATGGAAAATGCAAGACAAAAAAATGTACTCTGACTTGTCATATAACAAACACGTATGAGCCAAAAGCAATGCCCTGTGCTTGTCTCTTATTCCAAAGTTAACGAAAAACAACAGACAGAAGAGCTCGACATCCAGCATCAGAGAAGACACTTAAATTCACGGGGCATGGTGATAGGGGTCTGCAACCCCAACACTTGGGGAGTGGGAGCAGGACAGTGATTCTGAGGGCAGCCTGAGCTAGAACAGTGAGTTCTGGGCTAGCCAGGACTACTTAGCCATACCTCATCTCAAAACATGAAATTTTAAAGAAAGCATTTAATTACAGTACATGATAGGAAAAAAAATGTTATAGAAAGCCCACTGCAGGAAGGGGACATCAAAGAGAAGAAAGCGGGGTCTAAAATGACAGACTTTCAAGGATCATTTGGATTCATAGGTGTTGATAAAGACCAGAAAGGACACCGCGAGCAGAAAACCTGCAGTGAAGCCCACCGGTGACATCTGCGACATGGCTTTGGCACTACCTCACTAAAAGAAACTGAGGAACAGAGACAGACATAGAGATACTAGGGGGGAAAATTGACTTTTGTCATTGTCCCTTTGATGTGGGAGTGATTTCTTATTAATAAAGAAACTGCCTAGGCCCATTTGCATTTGATAGGCCAACCCTTAGGTGGGTGGAGAAAACAGAACAGAATTCTGGGAGAAAGAAGCTGAGTTGAAGAGTCGCCATGTTTCTCCCACTCCAGACAGACGCAGGTTAAGATCCTCTCTGGTAAGCCAGCTCATGGGCTACACAGAATATTAGAAATGGGTTAGAACAATATGTAAGAGCTAGCCAATAAGAAACTGGACCTAGCCGGGCCAGGCAGTGTTTGAAAGAATACAGTTTCCGTGTAATTATTTCTGGGTATAAACTAGCCATGCGGGCGGCCGGGTGCCGGGGACGCAGCCCCGCCGCTCCTATTTCAACAGATGGCGCCCAGACGTGATGGGCTAAATCCACTTAAAAACCTGAGAGGGCTTAAAAAGGAGAGAGAGAGAATTTAATACAGCTTTTTGCTGTTTCTGGGTTGCGTGCCGCAAAGAAATTGTCCTGACTCGGCAGCAGGAAAAAACTGGCTGTTTTAAAATGCCGGCTTTCTGGGCTGTGCCGCCATTGTGATCTCTGTCTGGCTCCGGCGGGAGACAGAGCTTATGAATGGAGCATTTGGATTAAAGTGCTACGATTTGTTTGATGGCAACTAGACTGCTGTGTGCCTAAAAGGGGGACATTGTGTGCCACAGCTCAGAGGCACAAGCAGCTCCGCCATGCTAATGGTGCAATGTGCAAGGATCAGAGGCACGAGCGGCTCCGCCATGTTGGACTGGGCGGGGCCAGCATACAGTACCTGTTTTTGACCTAGGAATGTCACAGCTTAGATTCTTAAGCGCTTAGTGATTTAAAGGTGCTTAGTGATTTAAAGGCGCAAAACAAAATGCTCCTGGATAGTAAAAAAGTTACAGATTCACAATAAAACAGATTCAGACACTGTTGGATAAATGTACGTAGGCTTGGGAAAGAGAAGAAAAAGAATATAAAGAATAAAGTTAATGTCTTAAAAAGAAAAAGGGTAAAGTCTTTAAAGAGACAGAGTACAGAAGTACAGATAGTTATAGATTAAGAGAAATAAAGAAAAATAAGCCACGTAAAAATGGAAAATTCACAGAGAGTCTGGATTATGTACATTGTGTTTTCTTTAAAATTTTTGACTGTGAAGGAGCTAAGTACAGAGAGACATTTCATTATATGGGCTGCCAAGCTAAACCAAAATGGATTTCATGAGGGTATTATGATTTCAGAATTTGGGTCTAAGGATATGATGCTTTGGAAAAGGTCTTCTTTTGTTTTCACAGAGGACGTGACCCTGTGGATTGCATCTATTCCGATTTGGTATGATAGACCACGCCCTCCTGAAAGGTTGGGAAGATATTATTTTAGAGTGGATATTTATACCTAATAAACCAAGTAAAAAATTAAAAACTTATGTGGAAAAAGTCTCTGAATTAATTATAAAAGGTAAGCTGAGACTTCGTCAACTAGCAGGTATAGACCCAGCAGAAATTATAGTGCCTTTTACTACTGAAGAAATAAAAAAGTTATGGGAAGACAATGAACCATGGCAAAGAGCTTGTGCTAATTTTTTGGGAGAGCTGTGAACACCCTCAAAAAATTGCTTCGCTCAATTGCCAACTGAGATGAACCTGGCACACAGGTTACACCCTAAATGATCTGATTAACAGCGCCCCTATTCAGCAGGAAGCAGTTGGGAGAGAAAAAACTACGCCCATGTTCCCAAATATTGTTTATAAATGTTCTTTTACATTTAAAGGGGGATATGATATAGATATGAATAATTTGCATTGGTATGGATTTTATGGTCAATTTTGTTATATGTATATGATTTTTGATCTTGATTAAGGTATTGTGATTGTGTAGTTCATTTAAAAATGTAATGTATAAATAGGAAATATAGGTTGCTAATGGATAATCATTGATAATAGTAAAGCTTGTAGTCATGTTAGTTAGATTTTCTAGATATATAGAGATATATTTCAATTAGATAGGCATTCTTCATATCTTTCAAAGACTGCAGAATATGGCATTTAAAATATTTTAATAACTTAGGGCTTTTCATGACAATGAGACACGTCTGCTCCTGGCAGCACCAATCTACTTCAAGAGGAAGATGGGCACCGAAGAGGATCCTTATGGAGTTTGATAGCCATTTGGGCAAGAAACTGCTCTTGCCTGGACTATTACATAAACTGGACACAGAGAACCCGCAGAGAGAGGACTACTGAACTTGCCTAAAGGTGAGATGACCTTTTGGGGTTCCTGATTCATAAAAGAGTCTGCGAGACATTCTGCAGGACACAGCAGAAAATGACTGAACTGTCTTTGAAATTTCCTGCTTCATGGAAATGTCTCTGGATACCATGGGCCTGAAGGCCGAAGATGGATGCCCCATCGGTACAGAGGAACTTTGGGTGACTGTCCAGGCAGCGAGATGTCTCTGTCATTTCTAGAGTTTTCTTATTTCTTGTTTGATAGGTAATATTATATCCTTCTGGAGTCTTTGATGGAGTTGAAGAATGGTTAGTTATAGTTTTCCTTAGTTATGATAAGAGATAAAAATATATATATATATTATAACTGTAATTCTTACTTGATAACTGTTTTGTGATATATAATTTTACTATGTTAAAGTTAAAGCCTTTCTTTTTTTTGTTTAAACAGAAAAAGGGGAAATGATGGAGGTGGGTCTTGTAATAATAAAGAAACTGCCTCGGCCCTCATAGGACAGAAAATTAGGTAGGCGGAATAGACAGAAGAGAATTCTGGGAAAAGGAAGCTTTTTTGAGTAGTCTCCATGATGCTCCCACTCCAGACAGACGCAGGTTAAGATCCTCTCTGGTAAGCCAGCTCTTGGGCTACACAGAATATTAGAAATGGGTTAGAACAATATGTAAGAGCTAGCCAATAAGAAACTGGACCTAGCCGGGCCAGGCAGTGTTTGAAAGAATACAGTTTCCGTGTAATTATTTCTGGGTATAAACTAGCCATGCGGGCGGCCGGGTGCCGGGGATGCACGCAGCCCTGCCGCTCCTATTTCAACATCCCTTTTTTTCAGTTCCCCTTCCCCCCAGCATTTTAGGGACCATGAAAAAGTCAAATTTTAAGATGCAAACAAGATTTGGCAATAATAGAATATCAGACAATGGACATGGGAGCAATGACATAGCCTTCTAATGAGGAAGAAATTCTCACTAGAACTTAACTGTTTGACTGAAATTAGCTCACCATAAGGTGTTATTTGTGACCAAATTGAGAGCCAATTTCAAAATGTGGGGAAAAAATTCCTCTATATCATCTAATAATGCCCGGCAATCTTGTCTACTTCCCATATGACTATATGTTTTTCTTTGGGATCACCTTCTTATTTAGCTTGTTTAGGATATCAAATTATAGACTCACTGACATTTATTTATCTCTAGACACCAATTATGAGTGAGTACATCCCATGTTCATCTTTTTGGTTCTGGGTTACCTCACTCAGAACAGTGTTTTCTATTTCCATCCCTTTGCATGCAAAATTCACAATGTCATTGTTTTTTACCACTGAGTAGTACTCTAATATGTATATATTCCACACTTTCTTCATCCATTCTTCCATTGAAGGGCATCTAGGTTGTTTCCAGGTTCTGGCTATTACAAATAATGCTGCTATGAACATAGTTGAACAAATGCTTTTGTCCTATGATAGGGCATCTCTTGGGTATATTCCCAAGAGTGGTATTACTGGGTCTTGGGGTAGGTTGATCCCGAATTTCCTGAGAAATCGCCACACTGATTTCCAAAGTGGTTGCACAAGTTTGCATTCCCACCAGCAATGGATGAGTGTTCCCCTTACACCACAACCTCTCCAGCAAAGGCTATCATTGGTGTAATGAACACAAAAGGAACTTCAGAACTAAAAGAAAACTGGGCAGGTGGGATGGATCACCAGATGAAGGTGTCCGTCACCAAGTCTACTGACCTCAATGTGATCCCCAAGATCCACCTGATGGAAGAAAACTGACTCCCACGCATTGTCTTCTGACTTGCATGTGAGTACCACACACACACACACACACACACACCCCTAAATGTACCTTAAAAGAGAAAGGAAACCACATCACCTACAGGGAAACTATCGTATACACAAATGAAGTCAGCCTCAGGAAGGCAAATACCATGCTCCTCTCCTTTGTGAATCCTTGCTTATCTATAAAGTCATGGTTGTATATTTCGTATGAAAGTAGAAGCAAAATAGGGGAGGGGGGACAGGAAGGTAGGGGATGTGGAAGGAGAGCAGGGTCCAAGAATATTACACACACATAAGGAAACGGGTGTGTGAAACACGATCCTTGTACAATGAATAGACACGACACCAATGGAACAGTTAAATTTTCTGTACTCTTGCTTTTTTTCCAGGCTTCAGAAATGAATTAGTGAAAATGGGTCTGGAAGTCATCCAAGAGGCTTAGGAAACACAAAACGCAAGTGTCACCTGACCTGGTGGCAACTCCTCTTCACCTCCAGGCACTAAGCCACTAAGCAGAAGAGTAAGTAACACTCAAACTTGAGGTTCAAACTGCCGAGGAATAAAGGCTGGAGAAACACAACCACTAGACATGTTTCCGCGGCCTCACAGTTGCCTTCCAGATGCTCTCGGCAGGAAACCGAGACAATTCTGGTTCTCTGACCACGCTTTGTTCATGGAAGACGGAGCATCAGAACTGTGCGGAGCATCAGAACTGCCAGCACCAGAGTCAGCCGAAGCTCCCATTCACTGAACACACATCCAAACAAAGCCCGGGTAGGGGCTGTGCACCCAGCATTATGCCAAGGCACAAAGCAGACAGAGGTTATTCAGACACAGTCCCCTCTCCAGTGTTTGAGAGAGGTTAGGGAGGAGGGGGGGGGGAAGCAAATAAGTAAATAAACCATGAGCTGTAACTCAGTAACAATTTCAGTAGGTACTAGCTAGCTAGCGGTCCAGCACCATGAAGAGGAGAGCAATGTCTTCTGGGAAAGTCATCTTCAAGCTGAGCCTAAGAAGAAGAGTCTTCACACACACCAGGAGAAATTCAAAGCAGAGGGAACCGCTTTTGCAATGTCAAAGAAAAGTAAGGCTAAATGTTCTCAGGAAGCTGAAGTTATGAGGAATACATGGGCGAAGACTGAACGGAAGGCAGGGACTGGGCAAGGCAGAACATTCAGCAAGGCAGGAAACTTGGGGAATGACACATGGCCTGTAGGCCATATTGGAGGAAGAATCAATAGGATTTGGTGATGGCTTACTCATGGAAGGAACGAATGATGTGTAAAGGAAGAAGACCGGGTCTAGGAAAATTCAGGTGTCTAAGACTGTCATTTGAGGGACAGCAGCTTTGTACCGAGGGAAAGAGCAGAAGGAGTAAAAAGCAGGGTTGGGAAGATGGCCAAAACTTTCTTTAGGGGTAATGTGATGCCTTGAGGTCTGCTCTACATTCGGATCCTGTGAGAAACAAAGGGTCAACTCTCAGGAAAGAGGCATGGGATGCAGATAAGAAACGGAGTCAGTGTTGTGACTGAAACAATATGGGTCCGAAGTCTTCTTAAAGGGTCATGAAACACAGAATGCTACATGATAAGGCCTGAGTAAATAATTCCAGAAACTTCTCAACTTGTGCATGCTTAGGTAATGCATGACTTCTTTAACTGAGAGGGAAAAAAAAGTCTCCCACCACACACTGCGTCGAACTTCCTGGAGCAGCCTCATCCCCATCAGCTTTGAGATACCCATCCCGTCCAAGGAGCACAGCTTCTGAGATAACATCTAAGTGTATATGGATAACAGAAGGGTAGATGGGAGCCAGCAGCCAGAAGCCCCAAAAGAGCCAAAGGAAAAGAAGGCAGCCTTCAAACAACAATAAAGATGGTTACATCACACATTCATACAGCACACGTCTAGAAAATACTGGAAACTCTAGTTGCCAGAAATTCACCAGAAAGGGCAGAAGCTTACGGTAGATGCTGTAGTAAAGCTAGGTAAGAGGAAACCTAAATGGTGCACCTTTGGTTCGATGAAAATGGTGCAGGTACCACGGAGCCATGAGCTGAGATACCCGAACTCAGGGGGTTGACTAATTCGGAAGAAACAAGACATGGAGCCAGGTCTTGCTCCTTAACAAGCACAATGGGAATAGCACAGGGACATGAAAAAGGAAAATCTTCCAGAAGAGCAAACTGTCACCCCAAAAGATATCAGGAGCTCTCTGTACACTTAGACTTAGTCACACAGAAGAGAAGTAACATTTTAAACAAACGCTGATCACAACAGACAGGTGCTTAAATTTTTAAAATTTCACTCAACTATTATTCATCTTAATTACCAAGAACTCTCTCGTCTGTCACAGAAAGCCGAAAGGCAATTCTTAGGCCATCAAACTACAGAAGGCTGAGGAAGCGAACAGACACCCTGAAGTTTGGGAGGAAAGATATGGACAGTCACAAGTCTCTGCTGGGTAGGAGACAAGGGGAACAAAAACTCACACGCGGCTCAGCAGCCCCTTCAAGGAACACTGAGAAGAGATAAGAAAGTCTTCAAGGTGGGAAGAGAGTCACAATGTCACAGGAATGTATAAATATTCAAAGTACGAATGCTTTTGAGATAGAGCAGTGATTCAAATCCACCTAACTGTGACAGCCTGTGCCCATGTTATCATTCCAGCAAATGTCCTCAAGGTATTACGATTGTGACAGAACACATTACATGGACCAAATTCACGTGAAGAAGAAAGATGCATGTATGTGTGTTAGCCAGCATGCAGTCAATAAGGTAGAATCTTCTCTGTGCAGACAGTGGGCCCACTAGAAGTCAGGGCCCGAACAAAAGTTATAATTCATATCAGTGCCTATCTTCCATGCCACTTTATCACAAAGGCTATAAAATCTCATTGGAAATCCATCATATGTATTTATTAATATTTTCTGAATGAAAAAAGCACTGCTTCATCGTATTTAGATAATTGGGCGATTGTCAAATGAATTTACCACAGATGAGAGCAAAGGAGCGGCCGCACGGTTTCCCGCAGAACATCCCCACAACCTTTTGTCCATTAGTTGTCCTATTTAGGTTTGTTTTCATTTTATCTTACTTTATTGTGACTTTTTTACCTTTCTTTCAGTTTCTTTTTATTTTTTTTAACATGCCTGTTCTTTCCTAATGAGAAAGACCAAGAAAGGATGTGGATTTGGGGAGAGGGTTCATAGGTATGATCCGGCAGGAGTTAGGATCTGGGGAGATGGTTAGGTAGGTATGCTGGCAGGAGTTAGAGGGAAGGACCTGTCATTAAAATATCTATTTTTAACTAAAAATAAATAAATAAATAAATAAATAAATAAATAAATAATAAAAATGGAAAAGTTTTCAAAAATAATCAGTTTTAATTCACCATCAATTCATCAGTTAAATGTTTTAAAAGATCCTGCAGAGATGAGGACTAACGGGTTCCACTATCCCTTACCACAGAAAGGCCTAGAAGGTACAGGTTTGGCACCAGCAGAGAAGCTTTCTGTAACTGCTACCCCCCCCCCCCCAATCATCAACTGGCAACCGAGCTTACAGTGAAAGTTGGAACTCTCCAGTTAGGTGCACAAAGCTTGGGAAATTAGGTCACGGGGTTGCCATGGGGAGTCCAACCATCTGTCTGGCAACTTTGTATGACTTCCGCCTCCCTGTGATACCATGGTTCAATGCCCAGTAGGCAAGATAAGAGAAAGGTTAGCTGAGTTTTTTCTCACAGAGACAAAAATGCCTGGAAAAACTCAGGCATCTCTATCCTCCCACAGCCAACATACCAGTCAATAAGTCAATAAATGCTCACTTAGAATCTTCTCTGTGCACAGAAATGGTTTTTTTAAAAGTTCCTTGGCAAACATGATCCAATCCATACTTACAGACAAGATAAAAAGAATTGCCGATCCTGCTACCAAACAATTAAGCTCTTGCAATGCAAATAAAAATGCTTTTGAAACGGATAGTTATGAACCGT